GGCCCGAGATAGGCGCCACCTGACATTGGGGACTGAGTCCCCTAGAAAGGTCAACCATGCGGAGAAGTGACAGAACAGGAAAAATGACAAACCCCACGACAGGCAGAGGTTTAGGCATGCAGTGAATATCATGACAGAATCAGCGAGGACCAGGAGTAAGACACAGGTTGAAACCTGAGACCGGGATCTGCCGACAACTCACGCAGCACCCTGTTCACCACACCCACCCGAACCATGGTTGGACCATCGAATGTAACATGATCCACCTTAGCTGGAGGAAGAGCAAAGGAGATGTTATCATAAAAAGGAGAAAACTCCACTTTAGACTTATGCTCACCAGGATCCAAGTAATAGAGAGACCTCACTTACATAGACCGTGGTGCCACGTGGAACTGTTACCCATAGGGTTTGAGAGGGAAGCACAACTTGTGTAAACACACCATGACGCTCACAGAAAACATCAGCTTCTCTAGCAGTGGTATTAAGTAACCAACGGTCACCAACAACAACAGCAGTAGTATGAACAACATGTGAATGTGGAGTCATTCATAGGACATTTTTCAGACGTGCCCAGCTGTCTCAGGGCACGCCGCTGCTGCAGTACCTGCTTACGCAGAGCCGGATATTCTCTGTTAAGCTCATCAACGTCTCGACAAACTGTGTTAATCTCAATCAAGTTGACTGAAGAGAATCCGAAATTTAAAAGATTGCCAATTGTATTAGCAACTGAGAAAAATCCGTCCAGGAAACGCTTTGGCCTAATGCTGGTACCGGAAAGGTCACTGTTTGAAACTGTGAATTTAAGTGCTTGAATTAGCATGTGATGGATATCAGCTTCTGTATGCTGTGTCAGGGTACTAGTCCAGCGGGCCCCCGTTTCCGAGAGGTTGCTGAAGACATTCGTCATCTTATCAGTACATGCCATAGCGGGATCGAATTTGACGACTATCTTTTGTGTAAATAGACGATAGTTAGTCATTAGTAGACCTGGGCGGTCTCGGAGTGTGATACCCGAAGAGGGCCCAGGTTCGTACAGATGCGTGAGAGGTGGCTGAGAATGAATTTCAACTGCGGTTGATAGCAGACCGAAACACACCACTAACAAAACATATTTTGTCAGACCTGAAAATGGAAACCAGGAACGTTGTAGGTTGTAGACTGGCGCAGAGACGACGCAGACTCTGGATGTCACTGACCTTACTGGTACTGGATTGACCGACCAGGCTGGCAGCATCATTGTGGTTAGCACCGCCTGAAAAGGTAATGAGGTGCTCAAGGGACGCCATGGGCGTCAGTTGAGTAATCCGAATTTGGAGTGTCCAATCACCGAGTGAAATGATAGCCTTTAAGCGTTGGAGCAGGTCCCCTCCCAAAACGAAAGGAAATGCTTCAATGTTATTTACAAACACTGGATGGCTCACGGACATGTGACGGATATCAGCTTCTGTATGCTGTGTCAGGGTACTACACAGTGAAGTTGATGGACACCACGTTTGACAAGGGCATTTGGCCTGAAGAGTACGGATGGATGTCCACAGCACAGGGCATGAGTCCTAAGATGCGACCCTGTGCAGCTGCAGCCATGCGGACCAGCTCCCAGAGAGAGCTGGACATGATGGTGAAATCTGAACCGGAGTCCACGACACCCTCACAGTCCAGCGCCCCCTCCAGGGTCACTGGAATGTGAGGTTTATCAATAGGACCATTACAGATGATACTCTTGAGAACCCTTAGTGGAAGTCTGATTGGTGAGCTTGGTTGGCTAGCTCCGGTTGCAGGTTCTGTGGATGCTAGAGGACTAGCACTGACGGAAGAGACCACAGCAGGCCTCGCCGAGACCTCAAGTGTCGTTGAATGCGCCATTGTGGCAGTCTCCGCCTCTGCAGGACCTGCTTCCACAACCGAGCCACAGGCAGGTTGAGGAGGTTCTACCACAGAGATGCACAGAACCGACTCACGTTCTGTCAAATCTTTCAACAGGTCAAGAAGTGCGGCACCCAGGGTGTGAATTTTTCCAGGAGACCAGCTCCCAGAATCAGTTTTCGGCGTTGGGGCAGGACTGTAGTCCTTGCGAGCACTACATGGTGAATTTTGGCCAGAAGGAGTGTGTCTCTCGCCTGGGCGAGGCGACCATCTCCTGAAGGAGCCTGATGAACCCCCTTTTCCTTTCAAAGAAACACAATGTTTGTCGCGGCCGAGTCATGGTGACTTAGGGTCCCATCCACGAGCCAGTGGAGGGGTCCGGGGTCTGTTTGGATTTTGACCCTTGTTATTTGGAAAGCTTTTTGGCTTGGAGTTGTTATTGGATTTCTGGGCCTGTTGTTTAGACCCATTGTTTCGGTTTTTGTTTTTATGAGTCCCTGATGCAGTCCCTTCAAGTCACAGTGAGGAGGGGTTTGCCTCCACCGCCAGAACTGATGGAGCATGCAAACTCTTACTGGATTTGCCAAACCGTGTAAAGACACAACTCGCCATTCTTCTGAGCTCATCCATGGGTGTGGGTTTAAGGTCTACCGTACCCATGTATGGGCTATACTGGGCATGTAGATTTTCAAGGAAGATTTCCTTGAAACCTTTTTCCTCTTCTATCCCATCCTTACATTCCGTACCAAAGTATGCGTCAAAGAGGCGTAGATAGAAGGCTTGTGGGTCTTCAGTACGACCCTGTTTGACTGACAAAGCTAAATGTATACCAGCCTCCTTAGCACCATAAGTGTACTCTTTCCGAATCGCAGCTTCCAGCTTGTTGTAATCATTTGCGATGAAATTACGCTTGCAATCAATAAGCGAACCCATGGCATCGGAGGTTAACCTTATCACAAAGATCTTGTCCTCCAAGGTCATTCCCGGACATCGCTGAAAGTGATGTCAGAAGTCACTCAGATATGTGTCAACCGGGTATGAATTACCTGGTTGAGGGTTGAATTTCTTGACGCTCTGAGACATGCTGTAGATGTCAGATATGGGCACAGGTGCGTTCAGTTGGACTGGCTGGGAAGCTGGCACAACCATCACAGCAGCACCAGCAGGTGCAGTAGGACGGTATTGTTGCTGTGCAACCAGAAGGCGTGTAAGAGCTGCAGGCACATATGTATGAGCTGCAGGTGGGAATTGATGAGCTGGAGGTGGATAAAAGTGGCCTGGCTGAGGAGCCAGGTAGCCTGGATGAGGCACTGGAGGTGGAGCAAACTGGCCTGGCTGAGAAGCCAGGGGTAACTGAGGATGTCCCACCCCAGCTGCAGCAGGTGCAACCCCACTAGCAGCAATAGCAGCCAGGGAAGCAGCAACTGTAGCAACAGCCGGAGGTGGAGGAGGTGATAGAGTTGGAGGAGGAGATCGGTAGAGTAAAGGGGTCCCCCTTTCTCCTGTGAGTGCAGAAATCTGTGATTTTAAATCCTCAATTTCATCTTCTCGGTTACGTACAAGAGATGCAGAGGTAATTACATCAACCTTTATAGCACACTTCTCATTCTCCAAGATAGCAATTTTACTCTCCAACTGATTCTTGTTATGCAACAAATTTGCAATTTCTGTCTGAACTTCACTCAGCTGTTTCCGAGCTTCCATCAGCTCCTTGCTGTACCGTTCCTTGTCAGAGTCAGAACCACAGGCTCTTCCTCTTTGCTGTTGGTCAGAAAGTGTGCGCATTCTCACTTGTGCCTCCATGTGCGCAATAACCTCTTTGTCCCAGAGATGAGACAGTAAGACAGCAAATTCCACCAGGTTATCTGTGCGGGCAGCTGGCTTGACATGCTCACCTTCTCTGGGCAGATTTCCCACATGTGTCAGTAACATTTTCATCAACTCAGTAGCTTAACAGTTCTGCTAACCTTCATCAAAACCATGTACAGTCATACTGGTAAGACCTACACAAGATTCTACTGTGTCAATGACCTATATACTCACTGAGGGAAGACCCAATTGTTCCCCTTCTGACATATTTTTAATCAGAAATGAGGCTTTTCACCAAAGGGAATGTGATGAACAGAAATGCTCACTAGGTGGCGGCAGCGTGCCTATGGTGGTTATGGGCGGGGGTACTGACGTCACCCGTCTGTTCGCTCCGCTCCACCAAATGGCGGTGAGTCTGGATGACGTCACCGGTTAATGTTTTACGCACTAAAGTGCAAAATCCACCGCTTAAAACTACTCGAACGATGTCGGAGTTGTCCCGTAGGCGTAGCGGATTTTAAGAGACAGAAATACTGCATCAGACGGCTTGACAGGTTGTCGGAGACGCGTATACCGACTTTCTAATCTGAGTTTACTAGTTAGGAGCTGGCTGTGCTAAGCTAGCGGGGCCTGTTAGCTAAACAGGGCTTTGCGGTCTAATTCTGTCGTAGAACTGACCAGTCCAAATAACCGAACGTCCGTGGCTCGTTCGCGTTAAAATTTCGGACTAATTAATGTGTGCAGTTTGTGCTGCGGTGACGCTCTACTGTTTTAAACGCTCATAAGATTGTTAGCAATTGATGCTAGTCAAGCTTAACGGGCTGATTTACCGGTGATCAGACGGCAATCAGGGAAGCGAGCTTCCCGTGGATATATACCTTTATCTCCATTACACAAAAATAGTACACAGTGTCACGAAACACTCAGAAAAGACATAAAAATACAGTATTCACCTTAAAGAAGCAGGAAATCATTTCAGATATCACTGTCTATGAAACTAAAATGGCTGAGAAATGACATGTCAGCCTTGGATGATTTGAGATGAACTGGCGCCTCCTGTTGGAGGTTGACCAGTGTCACACCCTCTTTTGACTTTAAATGGAGATGCTGCACTCTAGTGGTCGATTACAAGATCGTTCCGTTTTCAACCAGAAACATCAAGTTTTATAATTTTTAAGTGCTTTAACTGTTTAAATATTTCTCAGACTTAGCACGAAGTGTCAAAAATGTACAAATATCTGGCAATGGCTCACCATTATGTAAAGGGTTAATTTACATCGACTTAAGAAACCATAAGATGTAAGATTCCATAGTGAAAATTAAATCATTCTTATGGATCTTTGGGTACTTTTAACCAGAAGATTGGAACTTTTTATTGCAGGGATTATGTAACACTTCCTATTAACTGAGAGACAAGAGAAGAGAGAGTCACCTTTGAAATTTAAGAAGATTTATTTCTAAACAATTTTAAACAAGACTAACTAAATTCTAAGTGAATGGCTGGATCTTGGTGTGAATGAGACATGAGATGAATGGTGTATGTGTGAGTAATGTTTGTCATCAGAACTCTCATATCCAGAGAAGCAAGTCTGAGTGATGTTGTGATGTTTTGCTCTTAAGCTATGATCATAGTTTCATAAACATATAAGACGCCATTTTGTCGCTGTACACATACCCTTCAGGATGAGACCTCCGTACAGATCCAGAATGCCAGGTCCTCTGACCCCCCTTTCGGTACCGGAGCCGATGAAACAGCGTCAGCAGTACGACAGACTAGTCTTTGGATTGTCTCCAGGTAAAAAGCGACAGTTGGTTGACAGCGTTAGATGGACCCAGAGGGCCAGTGAGTTCAGCTTTTATTCTGAAAGGAACCGTTGCTTGGTTGGTAAAATGCAACAGATTTTATCCAGCTTGTTGGTTCTTTGCTTAAAAAGGAAGTCCGGGTGGCCGGTCCGATACTTCTCTTAGAATGCGGTGAACTGTAGAGTACTCAGAGAACTGGACTAAGATGGCGTGGGGACTAGTTTTATTAATCTGGATGTTTTGATTTACGGTCGAATCAAAGTTGGACAGATTTATAAACACCACAGAGACTATGCCATGCTTCAGAAAGGAAGGTTCCGATTGGACGAGTAAAAGCAATGTGTCATACGTTTACATTACGTGTATCTGGATGTCTAGTGCAGCTAGATTAAAGTACACATACTAATCATAACATTGTCATTTCACAGTTTGGTCAACATTTTTTATTGACTAACACTTTGTTTGATTAGCTTATTAAAAATAGAGTTCTTTGATTTATTAAAAAGAAAGAGTCCTTTGTCTTCAATCTTCTCTTGGGCTGGAAAGGAAAAGTTTTAGAAGCACATGCATGAGACCTTGAGCAATGTCTCATGCAGATTAGTTCTTGCTGAGGAGGGGGGGGGGGGGGGGGGAATGACTTTTAGGTGGAAAACAGTCATTTCATTCCGTTACACTGTGGCGGTTTTCCAGTGATGAGTGTTTGATGGTCCAGGAAGCTTGAAGGTTTCTTCTCTCCTGCTGCCCTGAAGTGGTCAGGAAACAGCTTCTGGTTGGCCGATCTGCTCCATCAGCTCTGGATTTAGAGAAGTCTGTTTAAAAGAGAAGATGGAAAATAAATTTTCTAATACAGCAGAGATTAACAGTAAAGTTACTAGTTTTCCTCATTACACAACTAACTTCATATGCTTCATCCTGGTGATTCATCCACCTCTGCACTGGTGGCAGTGCAGCAGAATCATGAACATCAGACATGTTAACGTAGCTTCTGGGGTCAGTGGGAATGTTCTCTGCTGGGCTTCCGGAGGAACAACAACAGACCTGAAGGTGCCAGAGAGGATTAGAAACCTGTTTAATAAACTGCTGCTCCTTTACTGAAGAAGGAAGCTGTCTGCTGTGAGGGGCCGTGTAAGCCATAACCCTGTTACTCACACACACACACACACACACACACACACACGCACGCACGCACGCACGCACGCACGCACGCACACACACACACACACACACATTCTCCTCACACATGCATACATTCTTCTCATACATATAGACATTAGACACACACCCACACACACACACACACGTATTCTCTTTACACACATATTCTCTACACACACACACACACACATTCTCTGCACACACATCACCGACATATAGGCACACATATATATTCTCAGCATACACGCACACACACACACACACACACACACACACACACACACACACACACACACACACGCGCGCGCACACACACACACACACACACACACACACACACACACACACACACACAGCCCCTCATAGACTGCTGTCTCTCTGCTCTGACATAAGCCAAATATGTTCCCTCTGCCACCTTCATTATAAACAGTCCTGTTAAATTTAGCTGAATAAAATAATCATTCAGCAAGTAGAAGATGACGTCACATGACTTGTGCACATGTACAAAGTTAGCTAACGTTAGCTACAGGCTAAGGCCTGCTAGTAAGCTTTGTCGTAAAGCACCACATCGAGTCAGGAGTGGGACGAGTTACATAAGTGTAAAAACTCATCTCCCTCTGATTATTGCTTACCTTGGTTAAATGTTGGTGTTTGCTAGCAGCCAGTAGACAGCTGAGGACAAGATGTGTTCACAGCTAAAGTGACCGGATAGCATCTGGATAAAATGTAGCACTTTCACCCAGAGTCTGAACAATAAAGTAACAACACCCATCTTTCAGTTATTTCACAAATTTCCTGGCCCAGTGGAGTGAATCTGTGTCTTCCTCCCTGGTGCATGCTCCTGACTCATTCTGTCGGGGATACACACATCGGTACGACACCTGTTGACTCAAACCTGACAAATAAAATATTAAAATCAAATTTGGTTGTGCGGCCATTTTTTTCCATTTCTTGCATTAGATTTCGGACTAAAATGTAAAATACAAAAAAAAAAAACCACGTTGTTTTTGTTATTTTTGAATCCATTTAAAAACAAATAACAAAAATAAACATCTATTCCTATTTTGATTGTTTGTTTTCAATCAAAAATAGAAAGAACGGATGATACACGGATTGCAGAAGGTCTGTCGCCGGTTGCAGAGAAGGTAAGGGCTATCAAGGAAGCCCCAAGCCCAAAGAACACTGCTGAACTCATTCTTAGGAGTGGTGAATTATTATGGCAAGTTTTTGCAGGATCTTTCTAAGGTTCTAGCACCTCTATATAAACTGCTTCATCAAGAAACTGTGTGGCAGGAGAAGCTTTTAAGGAAGTTAAGGAGCTTCTTCACTCAGCTCAGCTTCTTGTTCATTTTGATCCTGACAAGGAGATAACCGTATCGTGTGATGCCTCATTACGATGTAGGAGCCGTGATTTTACACATTATGGAAGATGGGTCAGAGAAGCCCACTGCTTTTCCTTCACGTGTGTTGTCTAAAGCAGAGTAAGGTTTTTCACAGCTGGATAAAGAAGGGCTAACGGTTGTGTTTGCGGTGCAGCATTTCCATCAATACGTGTATGGTCATCGTTTTAAGATCTATACAGACATACATACCGTCGTTAGGCTTATTTGGGGATAACGATTGTATTCCTCCTTTGGCCTGTGCTCGTGTGCAGTGTTGGGCTTTGACATTGTCAGCATACCAGTATGTTTTATTGTACAAAGCAGGTAAAGATAACACCAATGCGACTGCATTGAGTCGGTTGCTGTTGCCGGAGAAACCCTCCACATCACATGTGTATCCAGAGACAGTGTTTGTGCTGGAAAAGTTGTCAGAAACTTCTGTAAAGGCAGCACATGTTAAAATATGGACTGACAGAGATCCAGTTCTGTCTAAAGTAAAGTCCTACCTATTACGGGGGGTGGCCTAATGCAGCAATAGAAGATCTGAAGCCTTATGCTAAAGGTAGGATGGAACTGAGCCTGCAGGATAGTGGCGTTCTCTGGGGGATGAGGGTCGTTGTGTCTCCCCAGGTAGACAGCAGATTGTGGAGAAGATTCATGAGACACACCCAGGAGCATAAAGAATGAAAAGTTTGGCCAGACCATATGTCTGGTGGGCAAAAATAGATTTAGACCTTGAGGGCAGAGTAAAGTCATGCCCTCAGTGCCAGTCTCACAGGAAACTGCCTCCGCCAGATCTGCTGCATCCGTGGGAATGGCCGAGCAGTCCTTGGTCAAGTTTGCATTTGGATTTTGCAGGACCATTATTGAAACAGATGTTGACAGTCTTGATCGATGCCTATTCCAAATGGATAGAGTGTCACATTATGAGAAACATCATAGCTCGTTCTACACTAGGTAAGCTGAGACAGAGTTTAGCTGTCCATGTGTTGCCGGATGTGTTGGTACCAGATACTGGTTCCACCTTCACGAGCGAACTGTTTAACCCTCTAGAACAGAGGTCCCCAACCCCCGGGCCACGGACCGGTACCGGTCCTTGGGTCATTTGATACCGGGCTGCACAGTGTTTTCGCACGGAAAAAAAAAACTTACACAGTGAATTTTATTTTGAAAAATGACCGGATGCACTTCATTACACCCGCTTTCCTCTCACTCTTGACGCATGCGTAGAAGCTTGCCTGGGTCAGGTTGTACGGTACCGCTCAAAACACAACGCACCCTTATGCTAGCAAAATGAGTAAAAAACAAGCATCTCTTGAAAGTTTCTTTGTGAAGGGGAAAAGGCCCAGTGAAGAGACAAAAGAAGAGGAGACTACGACTCCCAAAAAGATGAAAGCTGTATTTAGCAGACAATACCAGGAGTCCTACTTGAAATATGGATTCATCGCGGCAGGTGATTGCCAGGCTCCAAGCCCGCTCTGCGTTATATGTGGCAAACAGCTCTCTAATGAGGCAATGAAGCCTTCATAACTGCTTCGCCACTTGGAGACCAAACACCCAGCATTAAAAGGCAAGCCTTTGGAGTATTTTGAAAGAAAGAAACAAGAGCAAGAAGGGCAGGAGAAATTACTGAGAGCCACCACATCAACAAACGTAAGTGCATTAAAAGCATCATACTTGGTGGCTAACCGAATTGCTAAGGCTAAAAAGTCTTTCACTATTGGTGAAGATTTGATCCTCCCCGCCACTAAAGACATTTGTCGTGAACTTCTTGGAGAAGCTGCCGTAAAAAAAATGGCACAGGTGCCTCTTTCAGCCAGCACCATCACTCGATGCATTGAGGAAATAGCAGATGACATTAATTCACAACTGCTGGAGAGGAGTAATACATCACCGTGGTATGCACTCCAGGTAGATGAATCTACAGATATTGAAAACAAAGCAATTCTTCTTGTTTATGTTCGATATCTGTATCAGGAGGACCTGCATGAGGAAATGTTATGTGCACTATCGTTGCCGACAAAAACCACAGGCGAAGAACTATTCAAGTCCCTGGATGATTATGTATAAGGAAAACTGAAATGGTCCTATTGTGTCGGCATTTGCACAGACGGAGCTGCCGCCATGACCGGACGGCTGTCTGGTTTAACTGCTCGGATTAAAGAAGTTGCCCCTGAATGCGAGTTTATGCATTGTATCATTCACAGGGAAATGTTGGCTAGCCGAAAAATGCCACCAGAACTTAGCTGTGTATTGAATGATGTTGTTAGTTATTAACCACATCAAAGCACATGCCCTTAACTCGTGCCTGTTCAAGCAGCTTTGTGAGGAGATGGACGCAGAGCACAGACGCCTTCTTTTATACACAGAAATAAGATGGTTATCGCGAGGGAGATCGCTGACCAGAGTGTTTGAATTACAAGAGCCGCTGCAGAGATTTCTCTCAGAAAAAAAGTCACGGCTGGCGGCGCATTTCAGTGATGAGCAATGGGTTGCAAAACGTGCTTACTTATGCGACATATTCAGCGCTCTCAATGAACTACATCTGTCACTTCAAGGGAAAATGACAACTGTCTTCAAGTTGGCAGATAAAGTAGCTGCATTTAAAGCAAAACTGGATCGGTGGGGACGGCGCGTGAACAGGGGGATATTTGACATGTTTCCAACATTATCCGGACAGTTGGAAGAGACGGAGCCTGAGCCGTCATGCTCCCAGCTGATGCCGGATCACCTGTCTGTGCTTTTAAAAGAGTTTGATCACTACTTTCCAACCACAAAAGACCCACGCATGACCAAGGAATGGGTTCGTGACCCATTTGTCAACAAACCAGATGAATCAAGCCTCTCTGTGCAAGAAGAAGATCAACTGCTGGAGATCACAAATGATGGCAGACTGAAAAGAATGTTTGAGACGACGGCTCTGCCAGTTTTTTGGATTAAAGTCATGGTGGAATACCCCGAAATCGCCACAACAGCATTGAAAACCCTGTTACCATTTCCAACATCCTACCTGTGTGAAACAGGGTTTTCTGCAATGACCGCAACTAAAACCAAATTACGGAATAAACTGGACATAAGCAACACACTTCGGGTTTCATTATCTCCCATTACTCCTAGATGGGACCGTCTTGTCACACAGAAACAAGCTCAAGGCTCCCATTGATGCAGCCTTGGTGAGTTGTATTTTTCATTCACTTTATAATTGTTTTTGGAGAATCTTACCTTGAAAGCATGTTTTTAAATTGCCATGTAAACCAAGGCCATTAGGGAGAGTGGAAATGCAATGTTGGTTAAAACTTAACGTAACTTAACTGGTTAAAACTTAACCAACATAACCATTAAGTAGATGGTAGTGTGTGTTCATGCTGATGATGTTGGATTCACATTTATTGTTGCATTTAAAAAACACCACAGTGTTTAAGCTGGTCATATGATATTAAATTGTATTTATCTGCTACATGTTAAAGACCGGTCCGTGAAAATATTGCCTGATGCGAAACCGGTCCCTGGTACAAAAAAGGTTGGGGACCACTGCTCTAGAAGGCAGGCATTGCAGATTTGTAACGTTAAAACCAACCTACCTGGTTGCTCCACACACGTATTTCACGAGCATTTTTATCTCAGAAGTACCCCTGAAGGACTTGTCCTTTTATCAAAACTTATTTTGAGCCTGAGAGGGTTACGATGTTCATGGACCAAACTTACATCAAACACATTTGCACCACTCCTTTTCATCCGTCCTCAAATGGATTGGCAGAGAATGCGGTCCAGACAGTGAAAGAAGGTCTGAAATGTATGGTAGGAGATTCTTTGAGTACTAAACTGTCTAGGTTCTTAAATAAGTAAATACCGCCTTAAGCCACAAACTACTGCAGGACAGAGACTAGCTGAATTGTTGTTGGGCCGTAGACTTAAGGCTTGCATGTGTGGGTCACGTAGCAGAAGTTTCTAGTCGGTGTTCAAGTGAGGAACATGGTAAATGGCCTGTATTTGATATAGCGCCTTCTAGAGTCCTGGAACCCCCCAAGGCGCTTAACAACACAATCAGTCATTCACCCATTCACACACCAGGGTATCCGCGGGTCCTTAAAAAGTCTTAAAAAGTCTTAAATTAGCTTTTCCTAATTTAAGGCCTTAAAAGTCCTTAAAAATGACAAATAATCCTTAAATCCAGTTTCCAGAGGTCTTAAATTACCAAAGACCCAATAAACAAGATTCTTTTATTTCTATAAAAATTTCATGAATTTCTAGTTAGTGTTCAGCATTTTTTGTGTATGACGTGCGTGTAAGCGGAACCGTACGCAGTCAGTTGGTTGTGAAAGGGGGCTATTTTCTAGATAAGCACATTAGCTGGTTAAGCTAGTGGGAGCTTGCGCCATGGGGAAGGGCAAGTTTAATGGTAACTGGATGGTTAATCCCACATTCGCGACGTGGTTAGCACCGGTTCCAGGCAATAGCTGGAAATTATCGCTTAAATTTAATTTTTAAAATAGCTTAAATTTGGTCAAAGTGGCCCTTAAAA